CAGTGCAGGGGACACAGGTTCGAGCCCTGGTCCGGGAAGATCCCACATGCCGCGGAGCAACGAAGCCCATGCACCACAACTACTGAGCTTGCGCTCTAGAGCCCGCGAGTCACAACTACTGAAGCCCGTGCGCCTAGAGCTGGTGCTCCGCAACAAGAGAGAAGCCACTGCAATGAGAAGCCCGCGCACCGCAACAAAGAGTAGCCCCAGCTCACTGCAACTAGAGAAAGCCTGCGCGCAGCAACGAAGACCCAATGCAGCCAAAAATAAATTTAAAAAATTTTTTTAAAGAATGATGCACAGTGGTGGCAAAACTTTGGAGAAACTGTTGGTAAGATTACACATTGCTATATCCTTTTTTGTGTGTGTGTGGTACGTGGGCTTCTCACTGCTGTGGCCTCTCCCGCTACAGAGCACAGGCTCCGGACCCTCAGGCTCAGCGGCCATGGCTCACAGGCCCAGCCGCTACCGTGGCCTGTGGGATCTTCCCGGACCAGGGCACGAACCCGTGTCCCCTGCATCGGCAGGCAGACTCTCAACCGCTGCGCCACCAGGGAAGCCCACTATATCCTTTTAATCAGATTCCACCCCTAGGAATTTATTCTAATTAAGCAAATAACAGTTTTGTTCACAAATTTCTATCTAAGATTGACTGTGACATTTAAAATAGCAGAAAGCAAATACAAATGTCCAACAATAGAGAACAAGTTGAATTAAAGCCACTGAACATACGCAGAGGTATATTTATTGACGTAGAAAGATGCTTACATATTGTTAATTGAAAAAAGCAGGTAAAGTTATGTACAGTATTATACTAGTTCTAAAAAAGTGTATTCATAGAAAAAATCTGGAACATCTCAGATATCATCTGTGGTTATTTGTGGAGAGTTTATGATTGAACTTACCTTCCCATTTTATTATTTTTACAAAATTAGGTATTAATCATTTAAAAAATCCGCTTGGGTGTTATTTGCATAATAGGTATAATAATAATAATCCACCCTATCCATCATGTCTCATGTCTGATAATCTACTTATAGCCCAGGTTTCCCTTGATAGCTTCTATTTTCTTAGAAGGGAGGTATGGGGGAACCAGTTTAGTTCCTTGCCCTGTCTCTAGTCATTTCCACAAAAGCTCTTGCAGTTAATGTTCACTCTGCTTAGCTTTTTACTTTGACAAATATTTATCATTTGCCTACTAGTCATTACTGAGGGCCTGATTCAGGCTTCGGCAGTAACAGCATCTTAGCTTGGTTAAGACTACCAGCTTCATTGCTTGAGTGCCTGTTCTGCCACTGAATAGCTGTGTGATCTGGGCAGGTTTCTTAACCTCTTTCATTTGAAAGCAAATATTTATTGAGCTCCTCCTACGTGTTAGACACTGGAGATACGTCCTTGAACGAAAGAAGCACCTGTTCACGAAGCTTACATTCTAATGGGAAGAAATCGATAATAACTATGCCAGGTGGTGGTAAGTGCTACAACAATAATGCAGGAGAAGGAGACTAAAGAATGAGGACAGATGAGGTGTGAATGTGGGGATCTATGTGCTATTTTAGGAAGAGTGGTCAGCAAATGGATCTCTACTAAGATGATGTTTGAGCAGAGACTTGGAGGAAGTAAGGCAGCCACCAGGTGGGGGTGGTGTGTGGGGCAAGAGTTTCAGGAAGAGGCAGTGGTGTGCTGGCGCTGGCCCACACTTGTTCTAATTACACGCATCTCATCCCAACTCTGCGTTCAGTGAAGTCAAGTTGGTAGCTTGAAATCAGCCTTGGTGAGAGCATCTGTACACAGAAATCAGCAAATGCTACAAATCAGTTTTCTTTTCCTCTCAGAGAGCCACTTGTTAAATATCTACCAGCACACCACTGAGAAGAAGGAGCAGCAAGTGCAAAAGCCCTGAGGTAGGAGTGTGCTTGATCAGTTGGAGGAACATCAAGGCAGCCAGGGTGACTAAAGAGAATGAGAGGGTAGTTGATAGGAGATGAAGTTAGAGGTAGCTGGGAACAGAACTGATAGGACTTTGCAGGCACAGTAAGTACACTGGACTTTATTCTAAGTGAAATGGGGGCCATTAGAAGGTTTTGAGCAGAGGAGTGACACCATCTGACTCAAGCTTTGAAGAGAGCCACACAGGGAGGAATCGGGAAGGCCAGTCAAGAGACTGGCGATAACCTCTTGGTAGTGGTGGAGCCAGGAAAAAGAGCACCTTGATTTATTCATCTTTTCAGATGTTGTGAAGATTAAGTTGGCTTAGCATAGTGACTAGCGCACAGCAGCCCCTCAATAAATGATAGCTGTTGTTATTGACAGATGCCAATCCTGGGAGTGGGGGAGGGGTGCTCATATCTAATTAGGAAGACCAGTAATTCCAGCACCAAGTGGTAAGTACTATGTTCCAGACCAGTGAGAGGATAGAGGAGAGACACTTACAACCAAGTTGTGGGGTAGGAGAGGCCAGGGAGGGTGTATTTGAGCAAAAGCCTAGGGGGGTGGGTGGGGGCTGGGGGCTGCTTTAGCAAAGACACCGGGAAGTGGACTTCGAAAGAAAACAGAACTTTTAAAATTGTCTACACCTCCTCAACTCCCCGGTTTGGGGGACAGATCACAGCTCTGTCCTTTAGATTAGCAAAATAATCAGTGATCTGAAGAAATGGTGATAACTTAATTACTCAATGTGTTAATTAAATCACCTAGTAGGCTGTGCATCATTACGTTCCAATTCAAATTCACTGGTAATTTTATAAATTCCATGGAGCCTTTGATTCTGGTCAGCAGTCGGATATAAAAACTCAGTCCGCTGAGAACTTTAGAACTTGCTATGGGAAAAGGGAGTTCTTAATCTGGAGGTCAAGCATGGGTTTTAGGAGGTCTGTGAATCTCTTGAAGATATTTGCAGAACTAGGTGTGTACGTGTGAATTTGGGACAGAGGAGATCTATAGCTTTTATCAGATTCTCAAAGAGGTTTATGGCCCAAAAACTATTAAAAGCACTGCTACTGAGAGTAATATTAGAGGGTAAAAGTCATTCTAGAAGAAATGGCCAGGTTTTTGTTTGCCATTTCATCTATCATTAAAATATCTGGTAAAGTGATACTTTAAATCACGTGAAATCAGTTAAAACACTGCATTTAAAAAGTGGTTCCTTTCTATTAAGAACATTGTCATTTTATTCAAATATGAACTGTCAGTTTGAACCCAGCTGGGTCTACATTTAGAATTTCACCTGTGCCGAGCTCTGAATGAGCTGTGGTACAATAAAAAATGCTTACAGGCAAAATTTGCTCTGTTGGTCATCCAGGATCGTAGCTGATATTCCTCCTATTGAATGTTTTCTGCCCCTGATTTTTGTTATTGTTGTTTATTGATTACTGATTCCCTACATTCTTCTGACGTTAAGCTGCTGAGTTTCCGAAGTAACAAGTAATCCCTAAGGGCTTCTTCAAAGCCAATGAGATAGAGATTTTTACTGAAATTTTACTTTAAAAGGAGGATTCATGGAAATTAATTGCTCTGACCACCTGCCAAAGACTCTTCAATTCAGGATCTCACCTTCTTCTAGTCATACATGGATGGTTAGAATCTACCCACCTACTTTTGTCTGACAATGAGCAATTACGTGAGTACTGCATGGGTTGTAATAATTCCTCTTTCTTGAGCACAGAGAATGGTCCAGACACCTTGTTGAGTGCGTTATGTATATTATCCCACCGGATCCTTACAACACCTAATGAGATAGGGACTTTATCCCTGTGTTATAGATGCCAGATCTGGGCTTTGAGATATTAGGTAACTAATTTGCCCAAGATCACCCAGCTAGTGGGCGGCAGAACCAATTGGTAGGAGAATGGGAAACCAAATGTCCTAGAAGGACGAATGAGCTGTAGAAAGAAAAGCACCCTTTCCCTGGTACCACTGTCATTTTTCACTACATGGTATTTTCCAGTGCTGCTGTATCAGGTGCTGGGTCAGACAATGGAGGAGAA